AGTAGAAGGATGTGAGGGCAGGGCCAGGACCAGAAGCTGTGCTCCTGGGGCCCAAGAAAGGCACTGAGTTGGTCTGGGTGAGAAGGAACAGGAAGCAGTATTGGTTCCCCAGGTGTCTGGGGCCCCAAGACTAGGAATGGCGCAGGGCCCAGACTAGGAGTATAGAATGGCAGGGGCGGGGGGGATGGAAGGGTGAATGGGGCTTAGGGAGTCCCGGCACGGAGAGCTGCGCTATAGACTTACCCCAAGAGCTAATTGTTCTAATTTTTTACACTTCTGTTTGTATTTATGTTATATCCCAAGATCCAGAGAGAAAGAACTGCTTTGTGTTGTTCTGTGTATCTCCAGGACATGGCCTAGTGTCCAGTTTGCTGTTAAATTATAATAAGATTTCTGTATACATTCATGAGATCAAGAAAGGACGTTAGCTTTATTAAATCAGATTCAACTAAAATATATAATACATAGGCTATGCTTATTCCAGTTTAGCGATGGCAGTTTCCGTCCACTGAATAAAGATGAGAAGCTCATCTTTTAGTACAATTTTGGTATAAATATATTAATATTTACTTAATGCATGTTAGAAAAACTGTAAAAAAAGTTATTTACTGAAATATGCTTATATATTAAGGTAAGGTAAACAGATATAACAAATATTGACAGCTTTTATTGTTTATTTTTAATTTTCAAGTAAAACAAGCATTGGATTTTTGTATTTTGATGCTGTATGCCCAACCCAAGGCCATGTATTATTTACAGGTGAAAATTTGGTATATATGTAATTTTAAAGTATAACTTTTCCCATCCTTTAATCCCTTTCTTTATCCATATGTTACTCCATCTTAACTGTATCCAGGCAAGGAGAAAACATCTATGAAATTAATATTCCAAAGAAAGCTTAAAATTGATTGTACATTTATCTTTTTACTGATTTCACTGTAACAAAGGAAATTAATCATCTGGAATAAATTGAAAAGAAGATCTAAAATTAATGAAAGAAAGTAAAAATTGCACTGCATAATTTGTAAGCCCATAGTCTTAGTACAGTCATTCCCTGAGCCTCCCCAAATTGCCACCACACATTGCCTCACGCCTTGCAAGTTCCACAGTTCTCTGTTTCCTTATAGTATTTGTAAAGATGAATCCATCAGGTATGCTTTGTGCTCTTTCAGTCACTGTACACTGTCAAATAATAATTTTGTGGTTCCCTATAATAAACATTGTACCTCACTACAAAGAAAATGTGTACTTGGGAGAAGAGTTTTTAGAATATCCTTGGAGAATAGAAAGAAAGCTAGAGAAAGGCCAAAAGCAAGATCTCTGTCATTTGAGAGAAAAACAAAACAAAATAAAACAAAACAAAACAAAACAAAACAAAACAAAACAAAACAAAAAGCAGTTCCTTCTGATTCCCAGTTGGTTACAATGCAAAGGAAGCATCTGAGGCAGTGTTCTCTTTTCAGTCTTAAACAACACGATTCTATTTTGTGGTCTGATAATGTCCCTGAGGGCTTCCACATTTCCCCTCAGTTGTTTAGGAGGTCTCTTAGTCTATGGATTTTTCAAACTGTGTGTTAAATAAAGAAAGAAAGCTCCTCTTCCATCCTATGGAGGCCTACTTTCAAGCATCTTTGTATCACCCTTCTAACCAGCCAGCTGCGGATGGGAATGCCCAGTCCTTTTTGTCATGTCTCTGCCACAGACTACAGTGGGTAAAGATAGAGCCCCACACTCATCATGCCAGGTGTAGAGTGAGTTAGTGTTTGCTATGTTCTTAGTGTTTGTGTTTCTGCCCCCAGATTACTATGGTGAAATCCTAGGCCCCAAGTGAGTGGAATCAGGAGGCAGAGTCTTTTGGGGGTGATTTGGTCCTGACTACAAAGCCCATGTGATTGGATTTGTGCCCTCATACAAAAGGCCCTGATCTTGTGTGAGCATGTAGAGGAAGCCCTCCATGAAGACTGGGTCAACAGACTCCTAGTCTGCTGGTTCCTGGATCTTGGACTTTCCAGCTTCCAGAACTTCTAGGCTTCAATGATCTTTGTCATTGTTCATAAGTAACTAGTCTATAATATCTTGTTTCAACAACCAAAATGAACCATGATTGTCTTAAATTAGAAGTCTTGGTGAGAATTAAAATGGATTCAAACAGGGAGACTTTTTAAAAAGACACTATTTGGTTTGATTAGTCTCAGAATCAGAGACTGGAATTTAACTAACTGTAAATATTCTTGGTGAATTGAACTAAAAAGTATTACCTCATCAAAGACATTTTCAGTGTATCCCACTGTATTTTTTAATCTCTGAGCTAATGATAATTCAAGGGGAGCATTGAATGTATAACGCTTTTTTTACTTTTTACTTTTTTCCTCCAGCTAGAAGATGATATCATAGCAAAAATATATATTTTACAAAAATTAAAGATTTTATAAATAATATCACTTCGAAGAATTGGTTTTATGTTGAGTTCTCAGTGCTTGGATTTATAGGTAACCATAGTTCTATTTTGTTGAATCATATTGGGTCAAGCTCGCCCTCCCTCCCTTCCTTCCTTCCTTCCTTCCTTCCTTCCTTCCTTCCTTCCTTCCTTCCTTCCTTCCTTCCTTCCTTCCTTCCTTCCTTCCTTCCTTCCTTCCTTCCTTTCTCTTTGAGACAAGATCTTGCTATGGAGCTCAGGCTGGCCTCGAACTCATTGTATCGCCTAGGCTGGCACTCAAAATCTTAATCCTGTTGCTTCAGCCTCAAGTTCTGTATATGCCACAACCCCTTGCTTAGATTAAGTTTTTCAGCACACAACAGTCTTAAAAACTTTTAAAGACCTTATCAAATAGTTTTCTACTGTACTAATTGGAAAGGAATGGAATATTTCCTGTGTAGAGACTAGAGACTGTGACTTCAAAAGTGAAGTCAGATTCATGTACATGAATTGCAGATAACATAATTTTGATGAAAATTTCTTATGTAAACAATATAAATGAACAAAGCAACATATATACACATATCATAAGAACATCAAATTGGTAGCTACGAGTCACAAGAAACCACTGTTCTCTTTCATGGAGAAGAATGCTAAGGGGCCATGGTTATTAAATAAGCTCAGTGGTAGACCACATGCTTAGCACATGCTAGGCCTTGAGTTCAATTTCAGCACTAAAAGCAACCAAATGAATAATTAACAAATAAAAAATCCAACTAATTCTCAGAGAACCAAAGTTGTGGAGAAAAGAATACACTATTAGTTTACTGTAAAAGTCTATAGTTTCCATCTAAACTGATATTCTTATTAATGAATTAGGAACTGAGGAGATGGACTGGTTGGTAAAGTGCCTGCTCACAAGCACAAGGACCTAAGTTTGGATTCCCAGCACCTACATAAAAAAACCAAGCATGGCGGAGGGTGCCAGTTACCCCAGCCTTGTGGACACCAAACACAGGCTGATCCCTGAAGCTTATTCAATAGCCAGTCTAGATGAATCCACAATCTTCAGGTTCAGTAAATGACACTGTCTCAAAATAGAAAGGTGGAGCGTGGTGGAGAAAAGTCCCCTGGGCCCATCAAATTTCATTGCTAAACAAGACACATTACATTTTAAAAAGTTTGCTCATGTTAATGGAACAGACTATGAGTCATATACTTATTTATGAGTTTATTTACTTCTTCTCCATAGGAAAAATCTTTCGATCTGAGGATTTGCCTGAATTGATACATTTTTTCTTAATGTTCTACAAAGTGAAGCCCATTGATATGTTCTTAGATGACTTTACCCTTATAAAGACATGTGACTGGGGAGAATCTCTTGTGAGTATCCCTTTAGAAATACCAAACAGTCTAAGAAAATGCTATCATGGAATGTCATTACCTAAACTTTTTATTAGTAAAATAATCCAGTAAGTACATCAGAATGTCTAACTCCTGCTATCCTACATTTTACTGACATCTCCATATAGTAAATGAAATAATGAGAGTCAAAACATGCTGGGAAAAGTCAAAGCACAGGTAAAAAATGAAACTACAGCAACAAAACAACAAAACCCTAACAACAAAACAGTGAAGGAACAGAATAATGATATAGTAATAGGCATAAAGCTCAAACATTTGAATATTGACATTATAAATTGTCAAAATGCACTGAGACAATTTATCAGAATAGATTTTTAAGAAATGATGTAACTATTGATACCTGCATGCAGTTCAAATATAGGGTGCAAATGAGAAATCATAAGTGGGAAAGGCTATGCGTGTAGAAAGTAATGAAAAGAAAGTTGGTATTGTACCTGTATGGATATTAATTATATAGGGGACTTCAGAACCACAGAATGGACCAGAACAGAGTCTTCACTCCAGGATACTTAGTTCTCCATGACTACAGGACAGGTGTCCCACTGAGGACCACCAGGCTTCACGGGTGCAGAAGTCGCTCCTTACTGAGCCAGGCCCCTCTCCCTGCAGGATCTCCTTGTCCAGAACTGCAGGTGCTGGAGCTTCTTGATTGTGCAAGAACAGGTGTGTTTTGGACTGTCTCAAAAAAGAGAAGGCAGTTCTTTTTCTTTGGCAAGAGAAACTTGTTTGAGCTGTTCACTTAGGGGTCTGAGTGAAACCCCCTAAATGGAGTGAAAATTAGCTCAGACTTCTTCCTGGCCTTTCCAAGACCTTTAGGCAGCATCTGCTGCTTTCCCTCCACTGCTGGGACACTAGCACAACAGGAAGTACCCCCATCCTTCACCATGCCAAGAAAAGAGAGACTAAAAAGGGCTGCCTGTCCTGTGTGGGTGAAGAGACACTCAGATCTTCCAAGCACTGCTCAGATCACTTGGAAAGAAATCATGACAATAGCCTTTACCTGCCGAGTCATCTCACTGGCTCATAATTAAGATTTCATACCAGTAACCTCAGTTTATATCTTAACAAAGTAGAAGATAACAGCAAAGCAAGCAGAGGGAAAAAAAACCACCAAAAATATAAATGTAGAAAACAATAAAATTTAAAGCATGAAAGCAATGTTAAAAATTAATGAAACACAAAACTAGCTCTTTGAAAAGAGCACTGATAAAATAAATTGGGAAAATATCTGATAAACTAGAAAAGAAGACACAAACCACCAATATTGGAGAGAATATGATGACATACTTCACAGACCTTAAAGTAATAATGGACACAATTGTACAGACATAAACTTATCAACTTAAAAATGAAATGAATGTTCATCAGAAATCACACACTATCAAAACTCATCCAAGATGAAGCAGACAACCAGAATAATCCTGTATGTATGACAGAAATTCAATAAATGATGAAGAGTCCTCTGTGAAAGGAATTTCCAGATCCAGGTGTTTCAAAGGTAAATGCTTAAAGAAAAATAATATCAATCAAACATATTTTACATATTACTAGTTTTTAATGTGGTGCCAAGTATTGAACCCAAGGCTCAGCAAGCACTGTACTACTGAGCCACACACCAGCTCCTGTATTTTAGAAAATAAGAGACAAATCCAAACCCTTTGTACGATGCCAGCACGAGCCTGACATGAAAGCCAAAGAAAGTACAAGAAAGAACCCAGAACACCAGCACTTGGAGGCCGGAGACAGGCAGACCATGAGTTGGAAGGTCGTGGTCGCCTGAGATACATGGTGAAAGTGTCTCAAAACACACACACACACACACACACACACACACACACACACACACCAGGGGTTTTCTGGGAGAACCAAAGATATATGTGACTATAGACACAAAAATCTCTAAACAACAGTGAATTAAGCCCATACACTGTAGTCTATAAATTTAAGACTTTAAGAAAGGGCTGGGGTAGCTCAGTGATAGAGAACTTTCTTGGCATGTGTGAGTCCCCAGGTTCCATACCAGCCCTTCCATAAAACTCTTACTACCTTATGTAAGAAACTCAGTTTTGACCTAATCAACAGGCTATTTGGGAAGGTTTTATTTCTTGTGGTATAGGGAACAGGCTTGTGATAGTACTTTCCCATGGGGATTCTTTTATGAGCCCATCAAGTACTGTCATATTTGTTGAATTTTAACTCCTTGACCAATTTTATCCCATGCTAATTAGTTTCATATTGAAGTATCTCTGAATTACTAAGTTATTTTACAGTTACAAAAAGATCTTTTAATAAATATTTTGTTACATGTCATCATCGGGTAGAAATGTATTCAAACAAGCCTGCTGTTTAAACACAACTTTATATATGCAAATTTGAGATTTATTTTTTCTGAATTTACCTTATATAAAATTATTCTCAAATAATGGCCATAATCATTTTAAATGCTTTCGTTTGTTTTTATGATAGTGGGAATGGGACCCATTGCACTGAGTTGTACCCCAGTTTTTTTTAAATAGGGAGTGGCAACACAGTTCATCCTTTTTATATTTTCATGGAAGTTTTCCAAATTCTTTTCCAGCAGATAAACTATATTACACAATTTCTATTTAAAGAAGAAGTTTAGAAGAATGTTGTTTAATGCATAATTCCTGAAGACAGGAAGAGAAACGTGTAATATAATGCAACCGGACAGAATCCTATAGCAGAAAAATACTAAAAATTTCATTTAAGTCATTGGAATTAGAAAAGGGAGAACCCAGATATGGTAGTTCATGCCCATAATTTCAGAACTCAGGAGGCTGAAGTAGGAAGATTGTCAGGAGTTTAAAACCAGCCTGAGCTATGTGGTGAGTTTGTGGCCAGCCTGGACTACAAAGAGCTGAGACAGTGCTTCAAAAAGAAACAACAGCAACAACACTCGGAAGGAAAGAAAAATTATAACTGGTACAATAATAGCCTAGCTTTCTAAGAAAGTTCATAAAAATGTATATTATAAAACCTCTCACCCCAACTATTGTGTTATTGTTATGAAGACCCAAGAACTGAATTTTTGTGTAAAATTTTAGATATTAATATAAACTCTAGAAAAACGAATACAAAAAGATCCTATCATCAGTAAACGAAAAGAAAGTAATATCTGGGTTCACATAAAAACTGCTACTTTTCTTTTCACCAGAGAACCTGTGTACAGCTCAAGAAGGAAGTCCATGTTCAGTACAGACCCTCCCTGTTCCAGTACGTGGGACTATATTCCTCTTTTCCTGGCAGAGAGCAGCACCTCAGAGTAAGATTCTGAACGTAAATGCAGTAATACAGCATCCCATGAACTCACAAGATCTCAGTTAGACAGGGAGGGACAATGTAAGAGAAGTCATGAAGTGTGAGCACTTAACACCACTCATTGTGACCAACTGCCCGCTGTGAAGTTTATAAAGTTAACAATCATTTCCGAACACCTAAGTCATTGGTCATGATGAGAAAAATTCATTCTCCATTCATTTACTGTTTTCAGCTGTGCAGTCCAATAAGACTTTGAAAAAATGTTTTGAAAGTCCCTATAATTGAATCTATTTTAGTCTAAAATGCAAAATTATAATAGGAATATTTCTAAATTGGAAAGCCCCTGTTGTTTAAATATAATCAATATTTTTATTTAGACCACTATTGAACAGATGAAAAAAACCCAGTATTGTTTAGTGTTGTCATTCTTAAGTATTGCATCATTTTGAAAACTATTATTTCTGAGGTAATTTTTGTTTTTCTCCTTTGAAAATTTCATACATGTTGGGGCTGGATTGATGGCTCAGTGGTTACGAACACTGACTGTTCTTGCAGAAGCCCCGGGTTCAAATCCCACGGGAATCCTAGGCCCTCTCCTGACCTGCATTGCCTGACACGCTTGCACTCACATGTATGCAGGCAATACGCTATAAAAAAAAGAATAATAATAATAAATAAAATATTTAAAAAAGAAAATTTCATAAATGTATACAATGTATCTTTGTCATAGCCATCTCTACTCTGCCCCTTCCACTTCCCCCAGGACCTCCCCATCACAACTTCCTCCCAAGTTCATGTCCTCCTTTTTTAATTTTTTAGCCCACTGAGTCCAGTTAGTGCTGCCCATATGTGCAAACATATGGGGTCATCGGTGGACACGAGGAGTCTACCAGCGCATCATACCCCCAAAGAAAAGTGACTTTCCCTCCCCTAGCACCAGTCAACTGCCAATAGGTTCTTAGCTAGGTGTAGGGTGTGCAATAGCCATGTCATTTCCAGAAAACAGTATTTCACAGCACTCTTCCCATCCTCTGCCTCTTACATTCTTTCCTCTGCCTCTTGCATATTGTTATCTAAGTCTCAGGGAACAGGGTAAATACAAATGTCTCATCTGAACACTCACAGTCCCTCACCACTTTGCATAGTGATGAAGCTCTGCATTAACCTGTATCGACTGCAGTAAGAAGCTTCTCTGACCAAGGTTGGGAGCAACACAAATCTGTGGTTATGTACAGAAATATTTAGAAGGCAGTTTGACATTGTGACCTCGAAGAAAAACAACACAATAGGTTGTCCCCTAGGGCCTATGACTTCCCGAGCCATAGGTTTTGACCATATTCACAGTACCAGGCATGAATTCCCTTCTATGGAGCAGGCCTCAAATCCAGTTAAGAGAGTGACAGGTTACCCTGTAAACATTCTTGTCACTATTGCACCAGTGGGGACATCCTGGCATGTTGGTATGGTAGCATGCTGGGTTCAGTACTAGTTAAGATCACTGATGTCTTTTCTCCCCCAGCAGCCTGCACATCACCTTCCAGCACTAGGAAAGTCAGCCATCAGGACCTCTGGGGGATGCTTAACCAAAGCATAGGAACACAGTGGTAGAGTAGAAGAAGCAAAGAATCTAGACTTGGGGTAAATGTATGGCACCTCTGCCCTTAGTGTCTTCACACACAAAGGAAATAATTATCTGGATTATTTGTCAACTGAAATGAGAGCTACACACATCTATCCTACTATCATCATCATGGCCTCCCTTTTTCTCTCTTGTACTCTGTCTCAGTGTCTGCATGCAGAGTGTGTCCTCTGTCAGGGTCAGCTCTCAGCTATCAGGGAAGGTGCAACTGAAGGATATTAACACCAGTCAAACAAAGATCTTGGAGTAATTAAAATCTGTTGTGATTCCTTATGCAAACAATAACAACCCTCAAAATACATAAAACATAGCAGCAGATATACACAAAGAAATTGTTCTATGCTATTTGATTTTTGTTTCTATTGTACTTTGATTCTTTTCTTACATGATATAATTTTGCCTGATAAGCTATTTTAACCTAACTTTGTGGTAAATATACACCAGATTAAGGTGAATGTATATGTGATATCTCATATTTGGATACTATAATCTTTTCTTTTTTATACTTCATAACACATAACAGAGACACAAGTAACAATTTAGTCATATACCAAGTGTGATTATTTAAAATATTTTAAAATTTCTAACAGAATATGCTTTATTAGGAGTTTCATAAATCTAACAGATTCTTCAAAATTATGTGATTCATTCTTTGGGAAAAAAATGCATAGCAAGAATCAGATTTTCTCAGCTTATACTGGATAAGAGACCACATTACCACATTATATTTTTTAAAGTGAAGCCTTCAGTAAAAAGTGGTGAGTATAAAAAGTTTGATATGGGGGCCGGAGATGGCGCAGCCATTAATAGCACTTGCAGAGGACTCAGCTTCGATTCTCAGCACCCACATGGCGGCTATCAACCATCTGTAACTTCAGTTTCAGGTGCTCCGACGCCCTCTTCTGACCTCTGCAGGCAATGCATGACATGGGTTCTCTTACATACATGCAGGCAATACACTCATACACATAAAATAAAAATAAAAAAAATTAAAAATTGCTATATCTCCACAATTATCAGACTGTTGTCTATCTCATATTTTATAAAATTCTTGCATTCTGTATAGGTTCAAATTTGTTATTGGGTCTCTTAATATAGAATTATTTAAGAATTCCAAAAACTTTTATATAAAATAAGTTCCTGAACCACTTTGTGCGATACTTATAAAATCTTAAAAAAACTAAAAATGAACCTACCATATGACCCAGTTATACCACTCCTTGGCATGTACCCAAAGGACTCATCCTATTGTAGAGACACTTGTACAACTATGTTTGTTGCTGCTCTTTTCACAATAGCTAAGAGATGGAAGCAACCTAAGTGTCCCTCAACTGATGAATGGTTAACAAATATGTGGTATATTTACACAATGGAGTAAAGAAAGATGAAATAATGAAATTTGCAGTAAAGAAAGATGAAATAATGAAATTTGCAGGTAAATGAACGGGTCTAGAAACTGTTATACTAAGTGAAGTAACACAGACTCAGAAAAAAAAAAAAATACGGTGTATGTTCTCCCTCATATGTGGCTCCTAGCACCAAATCCTTTTAAATTCCAGGTCTTTTAATAAGCTGATGCTATACAGCAGTCCCTTCTGCATGAAATAACTACCATCATCATGACGGAGGCTGAGCCTGATCGTTAAACATAGTCATAATTGGGCTTGTTGACGGTTGTGCTCATTCATTAAAGGAGTGCCAAACAGGGTCACCGGGCCCTCACCTGAGTATCCAGCCACTCTTCCCAGCCAACTAGTCCAGTCTTGGAAGACAAAAGAAAAATGAGGAAGAACCCAATAGAGGGATGCTTTTGGAAGTCCTTGTCAAGAAACTCCAATGGACTCTCATAAATTTGAAAATTGCCCTGTTCTTTTTCCTAGTTCCCTGTTCAGAACTTGTAATGCTAACTACTCTTGCCTTTACTTCTCCTTCACATGTTGCCTCACCCTGTGTCCCTGTTCAGCATGGAAGAAGCCAGAGTGGTCTGGGTCCCAATTCCCTATTGGAAATTTGGGTAACTCCTTCAGAGGATGGCATGATAAGAATAGGAGGTAGGAACTGGCTAGGCAATTAGGGTAAAAAGACCCCAAAGAAATGTAGCCAGTTTCTTGGCTAAAAGTCAAAATGTCCTTGGGCCTGTTAGCAACACATTCTGTTCCAAAGGCCAAAAATGTCAAAATGTCAAAAGTATTGGGAGCTTGCATCTAGTCCATAAAAGATTTTAGAGTTACCTCTTCAGAGGGGGGAATGTTGGAGGTGAGGGAGTGGGTATGGATTTGATCAAAACACGTTATATGAATGTATGAAATTCTCAAAGTTTTTGTAAGCGTTAAAAAAATAATCAAAGGCTATTAAAAAACAAAAACAAACTAACAAAAAGACACCACAAAAACTTGATAAATGTAAAATAAATCTTCTACACTCTAGCTTTATTAAGAAAAACATTTTGGGCTGGAGAGATGGCTCAGCGGCTAAGAGCACTGGCTGTTCTTACAAAAGACCCAGGTTCAAATCCCCGCACCTACACTGCAGCTGACAACAGTCCATAACTCCAGTTCCGGGGATCCAATGTCCTCTTCTGACCTCTGTGGGCACTTCACGACACAGATGCACTTACATACATGCAGGCATAACACTCATACACATAAAATAAAAATGAATTAATCAAAAAAATTTTTAAAAGAAAAACATTTCTTCCCCAGTCATCTAGCAAAAATAATAAAATAGCATGCCTTTTTCATGATGAATCTTAGTTTTTAAATGGTTTGAATTTTGATTAGATCTTCAACTTTAACATATAACATAAAAACTTTTCTTTTAGAAAAGATTTGTGCAAATGGAGTAGAAATTTCTTAAAATTAATATAAAATACTCAGAATATATTCTCTGGTTGATAGGCAAGCAAACAGTGTTTTTTCCTATAATTTGCCGGTGTTTTATTTTGTTTGAAAAGCCATTCTCCTTTTTATTTATTTATTTATTTTTGTGTGTGTGTGTGTTTTTCTTTTTTTTCTTTTTTTTTTTTTCGTGTGTGTGTGTGTGTAGAGAATGTGCATGTGAGTAGGGGTGCCCTCAGAGGCCAGAAGAAGGTGTCAGGTCCTCTGGAGCTGGAGTTACAGGCAGTTGTAAGCCACCTGGCAGTGGTGCTGCGAAATAAACTTGGGTCCTCTGCAAGAGCACTATGTGCTCTTAATGGTGAGTACATGCTCCAGTCCTAAGCCATTCTCTTTAATACAGTCCAGTGAATGCAGAGTCAACTGTTTAAATGTGTTTAAATGAGATAGGTTTGCCAGATAAAGTACAGATTGCCCGATCAACTTTAATTTCAGTTAAGTAATGACTTTGTTGTTGTTGAGACAGGTCTGGCTATGTAGCCC